ACTTCTGTCACTATCATTGGATGAGAAAACGATGATAGAGATTTTTTTTCAAAATCTCATCGAATTTTTTGTCGTGACAGAACGTGACAGTGTTTTGATTATCGTAATTACTAACTTATGTAATGCTATTAAAGTAACTTGTACCGAAGAAATCTTAATAATATATTCACTCTACCGATTATAAACGCGTGATTGCTTAAATTCATCTAAATCAGTTAGAAATGTTGATGTCAAAACCGCATAAGAATTATTCTCATGAGTACTTGATCATTGAAAAATGACAAGAAAGCCAAAATTCGAGTAATTATTGGTAAAAAACTATTCGGCACCCATTGACAGTTTTCAGCAACCAAAACTTCAAACGTAAGTTTCACTGCATTTCTCCATTAAAACACGTCTCTAAATGTATTCAAACGATTCCGTAGTCTGTCAGCTTCAATCTGAATACATTTTTATGACTTAGCAATCCTGTTATGCCAGATTTTTCCTTTAAATAAAAAATATACCCACTACAAAATGCGGCTTATTTCAAGTTGCCGATAATAGAACAGCTGGTTAATACGCACAGTTCAAATGAAAAGGTTGTCTAAGCAAAAGAGGTTGCCAATAATAGTCACACGCACCTGAGAACTTTGGAGCTTTGATAATTGATTTCAAATAGTTTTGCACGTCATATGTGTGCATGAGAAAGGCTACCTTTGAGAAAAATCCAAGATTTCTATTTAAATATTGAAATATTGACAAAATTCCTTGTACGACAACTTTTGGACAAATGTTTGAAGTTTTAATTCAACTTTTTTTTTCTAACATAGCACTGGCACGCTTTTAGGAAAACTTAAAAAAAGTTTTCTGTTCAAAATTTCCCAAAAACTAAATAAATTTTAAACGAATAATACAAACATTTGACATTTGTAGTGTCTTGCTTGAAATTGTCACAGAATGCAACAATTTCAGATTTTTAAAGAAAATTGTCCGAAAAATATTGACTAGGGTAATTTTGAGCTATTTAAGTTTTTGAAACTTTTTGTGGATTTCGATCCCAAAATTATGTCAATATGGTCTTTGGTATTGGTCCAAAATATTTCTAAAATTGATCCATGAAATTTCTGAAGTTGGGCAACAAAGCCTACTTAAACGACTGAAGTAGAGACATAAATCACTATCTCACTCACTCACCCCTGTTGAGATCTCTAAAAAAGGGTATTTTGTGACATTTTTTTAAGAACATTAGAATAAATGCAATCACTTCAGGTTTTCAGTATGAAAATATTCAAATGGCTAAAGTTGACCTCTAAAATACCTGAAGTGTTCTAATTAATCATACCGATGGACTCAATCAATAACCCGAGCACCCGAGCAGGAGAAAATAACTAATGAATACCTAATTCTGATCAGATACCAAAATTTGGTATTGACCAGCATGACATAAGAGGTAAAATACCAAAGAATAATACCAAAAATGTACATGCAAAATACTTTGTAAATAACTTAAATTGATAAATGAATACCAAAGTAATACCGGTGTGGTATTATTTTGGTATTGCATTATCATAATTTGGTATTGGAATGGTATTGTGGGAATATTTTTTTTTGTATTATTTTTTGGTATTTTACCTCTTATGTCAGGCTCATCCATACTTATTTAAGGTATCGAGATATTCGTTCCTGCTTGGGTATGAACACTTTTCTTAATACTACGTTAGGCCTATGGCCTTGATCCTTGAGATATTTGGAGTCTGTTGGAAAATACTGTTAGGTTCTTGGCATTTATTCGTAAGGCAATTGATGTCAACCCAGAGGACGCTCATTCTTAGAAAGTCGCTCCAAGAGATATCTGGAATCAACCAACAATAATCAAATTTCTTTGCCACCCGAGCAGGAACAAATATCTCGAAACCTTAAATTGGTATGAATGAGTCTGGCATGAGTGATAAAATACCAAAAAATGTTCCCACAATACCATTCCAATACCAAATTACCTTAACAATACCACACAGGTATTTCGTTGGTAGTCAAATATAAATTTCTGTTATTTACAAAGTATTTTGCATGTAATTTTTGGGTATTATTCTTTGGTATTTTACCTCCCGAGCAGGAGAAAATACCTTATGGATACCAAATTCAGGTATGAAAATAGCATAACTGGCAACCTAAATATGGTATTGACAAGGCTGACATATGAGGTAAAATACCAAAAATCAAACCTCAAAAATGTTCTACAAATAACAAACTGATAAGTAATTGAGATATTACAATAACAAACGAATAACAGACGTTTTTCTGATGCCAGGATACCAAAGTTTGTTATTTTGAAGGTCTTCTAATACCAATTCAATAACTCTTTTAGGTGTTATTGTCTAAACACTGAAAGGTCATATTTTGTTTTTTTGGTATTCATTTGACATTTACAAAATATATCGATAACTGAATAATATCAAAACAAGGTTTTATACCACAAGCATACCATAATCTGGTATCATACCACATTAAGATATTCATTTGTTATCTATTAGCTATCGGTTCCTGCTCAGGATGGGTCGTGTTCACTTGAAGGTATAGAAAAAAAATGTTTTGGTAAAATATGCATGATTAAATATGTGATTTTCTTTGAAAAGTTTATTAATAAATTATCAAATAATCGACATCAAAACAATTGATTGTAAATAAGTTTAATTAATAAAGTAATTGGACATCTCTATGTGTTGTCCCACCAGTCTCTTAGCCAACTCCATCGAATAATCCTTTTGAATGAATAAAAGAGAATGACGAATCATTTCGTATTCTATCATCGCTCATTTCGCAGATGAGAGCTGTCGTTAAGCAGTTCTAGGGTAGATGTATCAGTTATGGTTATGATTCTTATGAAATTCTCATATGCCATAATTGGAACCAGAGTTGGTAAATGTCATGAAAATTGCATGGTGAAAAATGTAGTGACATTGGTGTCTCCGATAGAATTTAGTGATGGCACACATCTGCAGTAGAATTGTATATTTACCAGCTTTGATTGAAACGCACCATAATAGGAAGGTTTATTTATCACTGGTATATGTATCCTACACACTAATCAAACGCTTTTCGAAAAAGTTTAAAAATCGGTAAAAAATTCAAAAAACATCAAATATATTCCAAACTTGTACTGACTTTGCTCAGTTAACTCCATTTAATGATTGAACACAAAGTTTGTTGATTTTATTGACATCTTACGTGTACCCAGACAAAAAATTTGTTTTTTTGTGATATACAATCATATCGACAAACAAAAAATTCGTATAGAATGCAAATAAATGGCTGATACGTACAAAAGTGGAGGCCATATACCTGCATATTTTATTTTATTTTAAACGGGTTTATTCAACATAATATACGAGATAATCTGTAATAACAAATTCATTTTGAAAACTCCTAAGATGTAATCCGATTTAATTTGTGATACAGTACGACGGAAAAATAAGTCATCGCATATATAGGTAATAAATTTGCATTCTATACGATTTAACTTAAACATAATGCGAGGCATTACATTCTTTTATGCAATTTTGACTTAAACTGAAGCAATTTACGATCCTGTGTGTACATTGTTATACGACTTCTGATTGTTTGAGTAATGGTCACTTTAATTTTTTAACGGTTTTTCCCATGCTTGGTGTACACTAGTTAAATATTATGCCTATTCTGCGATGTGTAATCGGATTCATCAATCCTATTGAATGCTAAGATTAAATGGTAAGATAGTGGTCTAAAAGAAAACTAAATTTCTGTAAAACTGCGATCGCGCTCCTGTTCGATTTAAAGGTATACCTCAGGTGCTGTCCACAAATAATGCAGACGGTTTTTAAGATATTTTCAAATTGAAATTTGTTGATACATTTATAGAAGAACCACTCGAGTTTATTCACATTTTGATGGTCGTTCGTGTCTTATCTGAGTATGAGACTTAAACTCGTGATGTCGGTATCTTCATATGGATGCCCCAGCGCTATTATTCAATTAAATGATCCACTCATCGAATCTTACTCGCTTTAGAACAAACAGCAATACTTTCCGTTCCAACTTCATACAAAAAAAGCTTCCAACAAACACCCAAACAGCTCTGTTTTTTACCTCCACACAACACTTTGTTTCTGTTATTTTGAGTAACAACCACCAACTACTAAGTAACGTTTGGTAACTAAAGACTAAACCCAACCTTCCGTTCTAGCAGCCTATATCTAATTTGGAAGATTTGTTTGTTGATCCGTAACCACCGTTCGTTGTCCACCTGCACCTCCCGGGCTAAACTCAAACTCACCTCCTTTTCCGAGTAGTGCTATAAGTCAATTTGGTTCACTCTGTAGTTCAACCTCTTTCCTGGTAGTCGTTTGAAACCGATACGTGAATCCTCTTTATTAAATACTATGTCAACGGAATCCGATTATTTGTAGGACAAAGCGATGAATAAGCTAAGGTATATGATGCATCCACGGTATGTACTGAGCCATTGGTTTTCTATTTTATAAATCTACTATAAGAGTTAGTTTCTTTTGTAATGTAGTTTTGTTAATTAAGTTTAAAAAAAGTATTCTAAAGGCTCCAATTCATATTCTTCCTTCTTATGTGTATATTCACACCATTTCTAAAAGTATTTCTCGATTTGACCGACTGTAGAAAACATCCAACAAGTAGTAGACCAGATTGACTAAAGCTAAGATTGATTTACATTTAACACAGTAACAATTACACAATGCATGAATCTTCATCACCATCACAGTCACACTCACACTCACCATCACTCGTCGGTTTCACTAACACACGATAGTACACTCACAAGTTTGGTAGTTCATCTCCTTTTCATCTCCAACTCCATGTGTTTTTATTTCAGAATGTTTGTTTTTGTGTTGTCGCTTGTTTGCTTTTTACATGTTATTCTTTTATGATGTATAGAATTATTTTAAGCACATTAATCCAAAAATCGTTCTAAAATTTCCCAATTTGTTCCCAATTTCCTCTTCTCCTTGCAGGCTGCGGTATCTCGCTAGCGAAGCAAACGGCTCAGCGGCGGATTGTTGGAGGTGATGACGCCGGTTTCGGTTCGTTCCCCTGGCAAGCCTATATTCGAATAGGCTCATCGAGGTAACGTGGGACTGGCAAACAAAACAAAAAAAAACAGAAAACACAGACAAATCGTGAATTCGGTAAATTCGAAAACAGTTAACGGTATCGAGAGAGACAGAGAGAAAAACAAAAAAACACTGGGACTTTGAGAAAGTGTGAGGCTGTTCGGTTGACCTTGAGTTGTCCGTGGATGTCATCATCCGGTGGGAACGGAACATGAGAATGAGTAGCCGAAGCAACTCGATCTCACCGTTGAAATGCTGCAGAACTTTTGTACACTTCTGTACCATATTTTTACCTAGGGGGATTTGATAACATTCTGCGACGAGTTGATTTATCAGAGTCTTACTAACAAATCGGTTTTGTAGGTGGTTTTAATTCAGTAACATGTAACTTTTTTGTGTGTAACAATACAGTATTGTTTTATAAACTCTCAATGAATATGGTTCATTGAGTACTAATGGATTTTGAAACGTGTGGTGTCTATTCCTCATCAAGCTGTTATTGGTCTCAATTTTGAAATTAATCTTGCAGCAGCAGGTAACCGGCATGAATTAGCTACCCAAGTAGCACACATCCGGCACAGAAGGTTGTAGCAACTTGATTGTGACCCAAACAAGTCACATAGAGGTAACCTCAACAGGTTTGTGACCAGTGTGCTAATAGGGTATCTCTTTTTGGGACGGATAGGTCATTAATAAATTTATAAATATATAATTCAGGATAAGTTTCCTGGAATACAACATATTCGAGGAACTCCAAATTGCCATTTAGTTCTGATTATTTGATCTACTGGAACAAACCAGGGCAAGCGTGATATGCACAGCAGCGATAATCGTCTTAACAGATTCATTCATCTCATTCGCATCATTTACGATTAATTTAAATTTATATTAGATATTATAGGTTCTCCAAATCATCGTGAACCTCCGACCGGAAGATCTATTTACAATATCAACTACGACTGGTGACTTTAGCTACAAAAGCTGTCCAAGCAGATTCGTAAAGTTTATGCGCAAAATTAACAATCAATTTTTATGTATACTATGTATACTTAAGTTCTCCATAACGTGCTGATGTTCACATCGAATGATCTACTAGATCAACCATGACTGTGGCAATGTTCATAACCGAGCAGGAACGAATATCTCGATACCTCAAATTGGTATGGATGTCAGGAGAAAATAACTAATGAATACCTAATTCTGATCTGATACGAAAATTTGGTATTGACCAGCATGACATAAGAGGTAAAATACAAAAAAATAATACAAAAAAAATGCTCCCATAATACCATTCCAATACCAAATTGTGATAATGTAATACCAAAACAATACCACCCAGGTATTATTTTGGTATCTATATAACATTTTTTGGTATTTACAAAATATTTTCCATGTATTTTTTTGGTATTGTTCTTATGTCATGCTGGTCAATACCAAATTTTGGTATCAGATCAGAATTAGGTATTCATTAGTTATTTTCTCTTGCTCGGGTTATAGCGAAACATGCCCAAGCACATTCAATGAGTCTATGCACATCGTTTGCGATACATTTCCATGAACAATCCTTTCTGCTTTTACGCGATTTTCATCTATTCAATTTTGTTCTCATTTAGGATGAGTTAAGAAATTTGAATACCAGCATATTTTTGTTTTTTTTTACTCTGACTTTTGGAACAGGTTACACTAAATTTGGTTGCAAACCAAGCTAAAAATAACGCAAGAAAACAAACATATTACGTAAGAAAGGAATTGAGCTCTATAAGATGATCTAGCTTCTCAAAATTGCCCTCAAGTTCAGATAAAATGATCAATCACGACTTCTACAATGCCCGAGCAGGAGAAAATATCTAAAGGATACCAAATTCAGGTATGAAAATAGCATAACTGGCAACCTAAATATGGTATTGACGACGCTGACATAAGAGGTAAAATACCAAAAATAATACCTCAAAAATGATCTACGAATAACAAATTAATAATTAATTTAGTTATTATAATAACTGACGGATAACATACGCTTTTTTATTCCAGAATATCATATCTTGCTATTTGAAAGGTCTTCTAATACCAATACAATAACTCTTTGAGGTGTTCTTGTTTAAAAACTGAAAGTTCACATTTTGTTATTTTGATTTTTATTTGATACTAGCTGAGTGTGCCCGGTCTTGCTCGGGATTCAATATTAGCTTGAGTTTATGCGCCGATTAAAAAAAAAACATGCTATATTGTACGTAGCCTCCCCTCCCCCCCCCCTATTATCTCGAACCATCATAAGAACCTTCCACGGCCCCAAAAACCCCTGTATACAAATTTTCACGCCAATCGGTTCAGTAGTTTCCGAGTCTATAAGGGTCAGACAGACAGACAGACAGACAGACAGAAATTCATTTTTATATATATATATATATATATAGATTTTACAAAATATTTCGATGACTGAATAAAATCAAAACAAGGTTTAAAACCACAAGCATACCAAAATAAGGTATCATACCACATTAAGATATTCATATGTTATCGGTTAGTTATCGGTTTCTGCTCGGGTGTCAACAGCAATTATTAAAAAGATTCTAATATTCGTCCTGGAGTTCAGATCAAATCAATCCCGACGGATATAATGACCGTATTAACCAAAATAGAGAGTCAAATGGCCAAATGGATAATAGGTCGAATTGAACTAAGAGAGACGAATTGTCGAATGAACAAAAGGCTGAAAGTACAACATGTTGAATAGAACTAAAATTCACAAAAGGTCGAATGAACAAAAAATTGAACGGACAAAAGGTCGAATGAAAAACAGGTCGAATGAACAAAAGTTCGAATGGAGAAAAGGTGGATTTGAATTTGAGCGAAAAACGGTCGAACTGAACTTATAGGGACATATGGACTTATGGACAAAATGTCGAATTGAACTTAGAGGGACCTAAGAATGTATGAACACTAAATCGTATGGAAAAGAACGTATGGACAAAAGGTCGAATGAACAAAATGTCGAATGGATAAAATTGTCGAATTCAACATAGAAGTACAAATGGTTGAATGGACAAAAGGTCAAAATGGTCAAAAATTTGAAGTGGACATAAGTTCATAAAACTGAAAAAATATTGATTATTAATTTTTCGCTCAGAGTTTAAAATAACTTTTAAAAAACTTTGCAAATGGTCCCAAAGAATTGATCATTATTTAATGAATGAATACATTCAGCAGCAAGGCAGTTATTTGTTATCTTAATTTTCCAAAGAATAGCTCATGATTTAGAGAAGGAAAATATTTGAGAGTTAGTCACCTATTTTATCGTCCAAAAATTTCGCCAGCTTATCCATTTCGACCTGTTGTCCATGAGACCTTTCGTCTATTCGATCTTTTATCTATTTCGACATTTTGTCCATTTCGGCGATTTGTTCACAACCTTTTGTCCATTCGACCTCTTTTCCCATCGACCTTTCGTATTTTCCACCTTTTGTGCATTTGATCTTTTGTGCATCTTATTTGAATTCGAAATGTTGTCCCTTCAACCTTTTGTTCGTTCGACGTTTCTCCCCTCTAAGTTCAATTAGACCTTTTGTCTTTGTGACCTTTAGTCTATTTCGGAAATTTTTCCATTTCGACCTTTTGTCTGCTTCAATATTTTGTCCATTCGACATTTTATCCCTTCGACCTTTTGTGCATCTAAGTTCAATTTGGCAGGTTGTCCTTTCAATCTTTTGTTTATTAGACATGTTGTCCCTCTAAGGTTAATTCGACCTTTTGTCCATTGAACCTTTTGTCCATTTGACCTTATGCTTTTCGACCTTTTGTCCTACAACCGGATCTGTTCGGACGTATTTCATTGCAAGGAGCATTGGGCCTGTTCTCGTACCTGCTTTTCTGTAAGATGCTGCAGAGCAAAAAGCAAAAGCATGTTCCCGTGCTTGCTTAATCATATTATGTCCATTGGCGTTGTTTCGGGAACTTCGTTAAATTTCAAGGAACTTTCCAGATATTCAAGAATATTTGTAGAATATTTGTCTTTCCAGAAGATGTTCAGATATGTTCGTAGGATAAGAATATGGAATTTGGAATAAATTCAGAGAACTTCGTAGAAGTTGAAAAAAATTTGTAAATCTTAAGGGTGTTTTGTAGACGTTCAGGGAACGTTGCATAGGTTACAGGATATTCTCTCAGACATCCTTCCTAGACAACAGGAAATATCCAAAACATCTCGAGATAGACGAAGATATTAGTGAAGTTCTTTGGATATTTTTTCAAGACCTTGATCAGATTCTGAAAATCTCCAACTGTTAGAAACATTAGGAACTGTGATACAAGAATGAATTTGGAGTCGTGGCATAAACATAGACCTGGATGGCCATGGGACCGTCCTCCGGAAGATCCGGAACATTGTTAAAAGTGGTCAATTCATGAAACTGATCCTAGAGCTCCACGGTTTTTTTGAAAACATTAGAAACTGTGTTATAAGATAGAATTTGGGGTCGTGACATAAAAATGGACCCAGATGGCGTCTTCCGGACGATCTGGAACATCCGTAAAAGTGGTCAATCTTTGAAACTGATCCTAGAGCTCCGCGGTTTTTCGGAAATACTAGGAACTTCCATACATAAATTAATGGGGGTTGTAAAATAAACATGTACCTAGCAGGCTATGGGACCGTCCTCCGGAAAATCTGGAACATCCTTAAAAATAGTCCATCCACGAAACTGATCATAGAGTTCCACGGTTTTTTTCATGACCATGGGACCATCATCTGTAAGATCTGGAACATCCGTTAAATGTTCAATCCATAAAACTAATTCAAGAGTTCCACGGTTTTTTTTTTACGAAAACACGTGGTACTGTGATATAAGAAACAATTTGGGGTTGTAAGATCCGTAAAAGTGGTCCATCCATGATACTGATTCTATAGCTCAGCGGTTTTTTCAAGAAACCACTTCGAACTGAGATAAATGAATGAATTTGGAGTCGTAACATAATCATGAACTTGGATGGCCATTGGCCCGTTCTCCAGAAGATCCG